CCAGAGTTACCTGTTTCGGTGTCTTTCTAATCCCAGAGTTACCTGTCCCAACATTCTATAACTCAGCGTTCTTGTCGCAGCGTTCTAAAGTTCGTCTCAACGTTCTCGAGTTCTCTGTCCCAGCGTTGCAAAGCTGGCTGTTGCTGAGTTCTAAAAGCTGCCGGCATCGGGTTCTAAAGTCCGCCTGGTCACGAGGCCGAAGCCCGTGCCGGCTGCTGCTTAAGGCTCGGCGTCAGCTCCCGAAGCCCGTGTGCTTAAGGAAGCCCCTCGGAGTGTGGCCCCGGCGCCCGGGGGGCAAATGCCTTAGCGGCCGGAGTTTAAAAAGACCGCTTGGTTGGTAGCTGGGAGAGCAGTGAGGTCGCTTAGATAAAAGGGCTCCGGTCACGGGAAAGCTTAGAGTTCTCCTGATCTGCCGAGCAATCTCAATCAGCAATCAATCAATCGATCAACAAGTGTTTGTTAAGCACAAACTCTGTGTGCCAGGCACTGAGTGGGGGAAGCGGAGGGAGGTACAAGTAGAAAGAGTAAGCTTGTGTTGAGCACCTGCTGTCTCCTTCCACACACCTTAGCTTCAGTTTCCTCGGGCTGATGGGGCTGAATCGTAAATAGGGGATCTCAGAAAAGCAGCTTGGTTTAGAATGCTGGTCTTGGAGTCCGGAAGCGCTGGATTTGAATCCAGCCACAGACAGACACTAGCTGGGTGACTCTGAGCAACTCGGAGCCTCAGTTTTCTGATCTGTAAAATGGGGATAATAATAACGCCTACATCTCCCAGGTTGTCGTGAGGATCCTATAAGATAATGTGCTGTGCCAATCAAATGAGATAATGTATGGACAGGCCCTATTTAAATATGAGCTCTTATTATCTTAAGGTTTCTTCCTTCCCAAGTCCTGGGATCTTATGACCAATAAGAGGAAGCTGGACTAGATGCCCTCCCTGCCCCCATCCTAGCCTTACATCCTATGAGCTGTGAAATGAGGGAGCTCTCCTTACCTAAGCTTGGGGAAGCAGGCTAGAGATGGCGAGGTCAGCAGGATGTCGATCAGAGGCTCTCTGTGATCCTGACCAGAGCAGTTCACATGCAGGACCTTGTTTGGGATACTGTCTCCCCTTCCTCACCCCACCCCCAACCTTCCTAATTCCAGATCTTGACACAAAGAAAACATGTTTTGAGGTGGTATTATTTACATTTCACCATGGAACTGTCACCGCCCTTCCTAAAAGTATCCTCTGCTTTAATCTGATAGGATTGTTTGGAGGGAAGGCAAAGTTTTCTCGACTAAGGATGGCCTTGGATTTAAAGCTACAACTTGTAATCTTGACAAATTTGTATCTTGTCTTTATCTTGTAGTAACATGGATATCTCTGTTTAATGTAAGCTTCAGAACAGATACTGTTTGATTTTTTTCCCCTTCTAGCCCCCAGAATATGTGCGTAATAAATGCTTGTGTCCTGATTGATTAATTCGCAGTAGCTGGGTTCAAGATGTGGCTGTCAGCTTCAGGGGAGAAAGCAGCTTCCAAACAGGATGCACTGAAGGGGCGTTATCTACAGCACCCCAGCTATTCAATGAGACCACTCTAACTGTGTAACTAGGAACCTCTCTTTCCTCATCTATAAAATGGGAGTAACAATACTTGTCCTACATACCTCAAAGAATGATTGCATTGCAATGAAAACCTTAAATACTACATGTGCCAGGCACTGGCACAACTTTCAAGTGATGTGTAAATGTGAGGTGGTGTAGTGGGATTGATAGAGAACTGGCCTTGGAGTCCTGTCCCAACACATGCTGGCTGGGTCACCTTAGCTGGGTCACTTACCTCTATACATCCCCAGGAAGCTCTCTTCACTGTAAGTTGAAGAACAGGGGCTTGCTGCTTTGATGACCTGAATTTCCTCACTGGGAGTTCCCTATGCCAATGGTCAAGTCCACAAAAGAAAAATTAATCATTAAGGGGCAAGGATTACAAAGATCACATCATGACTTATAAAAAAATTTTACTGACAGGCACCAAATTTACCTTAAAATATAGCGAACAAGCCTTTCTGTCTTATGGGATTTCTGAATGGCTTACATCTGAATATCTTTAGAGTCGTGTAGCCCCACCTACAGTACGTAGGCCGTGCAAAGAGCCCTGGGCTTGGAATCAGCATCTTCCTGAGTTCAAATCCAGCCTCAGACACTTACTAGCTGTGTGACCCTGGGCAAGACACTTAACCCTGTTTACCTCAGTTTCCTCATCTTTAAGTGAGCTGGAGAAGGAAATGGCAAACCACTCCAATATCTTTGCCAAGGAAAGCCCACATGGGGTCACAAAAAGTCAGACATGACCGAAAAACATCTGAACAGGCCTACCTAGAGGTCTCAAAGAGTCATGTACACATTCTATTCATGATATGTAAATAGCTGTAGTCTTCAGCAATCCCAAGCGTAGAGGTTGTCACCACGTGAGCTAGACGATTCCTCATTCTTGCTCACATCTGGAATAAGGAAAAACTTGGAATCTAAAAGACCACGGCTAATTTTCTCCCCATCCACCATAGACTTGGGCTTCCAAAATGCAGCTAGGTAATTCAGTGGATAGAGGACACATTGGAGTTAGCTTCAGGCAGACCTAAGTTCAAATCCAGCCTCAGACACTTACTAGCTTGGTGAACTTGGGTGAGTCACTTAACTTCTGCCTGCCTCAGTTTCCTTATATATAAAATGGGGTTGATATTATCAGCAGTGAGGATAAAATGATACACTTGTAAAAAATGCTTTGCAAGCTGGCTATTATGATCATTTTCATTAATTGCCCTGTTACCATCTTGATAGTTACTCTTGAGACCCAGTGTCTTCCTGTCAAAGCAGGGAAGTCTCCAGGGAGCAGGGTTCAGGCCCTGCTGTCACAGGAGAAAGCAAGCAATTAAAGGCTCGTCAAACCCTTCACTTATGTTTTCACATTTGCTCCTCACAAAAATCCTGTAAGGTTGTTGTTATGATGCCCATTTTACAAAAAAAAAGAAACCAAGGCTGAGGGTAAGTAACTTGCCCAGGGTCACACAACTAGGAAGTATCTGAGTCAGAATTTGAACTCAGATCTTCCTTGGTTCAAGCCTATTGCTCTTAATTCTTGACCCACCTAGTTGCACTACCTACTTTACAGGGTTGATATGTCAGAAGCTTTGTACACTTCAAAGTGCTAAGAGAATGGTAAGATATATCCTATCATGTTAGATTTACTGTATTGTGTTTTATCCTGTTATATCTTATCTTATACTGTATTATCATATCACTTCAGTCCGTCACAAGAGCCATGATTTTATCAGATTAGATGCTCCCTCCACTGACACAGTTGTCAACTCCTCCATGACTCGCTAGCTGGTTTCTCCAGTTGAATGGCCATGACCTCTTGGCCAGGTGTTTGGCTTTTCCAGACTTAGCCAGGTTGGTCCTCCCGTCACTGGACCCATCCTCTGAACCAGTCTAGCTTGGTAGGACCCAACAGAGCTTACGCTCCCTTGGCCTACTCTTTGAGAGCCCAGCGTCAGTCATTTCCATGTCATGGGGGGGCAAGGGGGTAACTGGAGAAAGCTTAGTACTGCATGCACCGGAACTGACCAGAGAGAGGAAGATTTGGATGAAGATAATTCTGCTCTTCCTCAGAACAGTTCTCAGGGTCCACACTACTGAGATTTCATCAATGTGAGGAAGGCCCTTTGTGGAAACTCTCCATGGATGTGACCTCAAACTGAGATGTGGGAAAGACCTTAGCACCCACTGCATCTAGTCCATTGCCAGTTCTCCTGACCTATGTCTTGTCACTGGACTCCAATGACTCTGGAGGAGGAAGTGAGGCTGTTGACTTTGCACAGCCCTGCCTCACTTAAATCCAATTCATGTGCAAGTCAAGACATCACCCTTCTGACATCATTAGTCCTCTAACAACAACTACAACTCGGGGATGCAGATACTCTATCACTTCCGATCTGAGAGCGGCCTGGGGCAATGAGAGATCTTGTCCAGGGGTCTTTCAGCCAGTTTGGGTCCGAGGCAGGACATGAACCAAGGATTCCCTGACAATGAGCATGGCCTTCTACGTGATGTGTAATGCCAACTCTCCCTTTGAAAAATAAAGAAATAGCACTACTTCCTGGCTTCCACAAAGGAGCTCAAAGTGTCCATGGAAAATTCCAGGGAGGAAAACAGAGTATTTCCTCTCCCCACAGAGAACTAAGTTGCTGTTTCCTATCTCTAATAAGTGAAATATCACATCATTCTCAAAGCATCTCATCTTTTTCAACTTAAGGGAAGAAGCAGGCATGAGGAGGCCAGGGAAACTTGACAGCCAAGAGAACACCAGCCACTGGGTGTGAGGAAAATGCCAGCTGGTTAGACCATTCCTCCTAT